CGTCTTAGCGCTATTAAGCTTTTTATGGAAATAGCAAAAAGGTTAGTCGACATCACAGGAGACGGAAGAGCTGGCCGCTACCTCGGATAAAGAATTAGTCTATTAGCTATTTAAAGGGGGAACGCTGCCAGTATCTTTGGAATCTTGAAAAGGGATTCCTTTTAATAATGTATTTTAGTTATAGGGGGATGGAGTTACGACTATATATATATATATATATATATATATATATATATATATATATAGTGTTAGTGTATAGTTAGTGTCAGTTATATATATAGTGTTATATATATACTTAGTAACATATTTTTACATTATCATATTTTCCATAGGGTTTTTCCATTTACACCCAAAGAAGTTTCACTTCAAGAAGGATACGGCCGTTGATGTTGTGTACCTACGAACCCTCAGTGGGCGAATCTGACCCACAGTTCGACATTACACACAAATCCGTACATTTTATTTTTAACTATGGCTCTGACTTGTTCGTTGCGCTTTATTATGTGTCCCACTTATATGCAAGACTTTTTAAATATATATTTTTTTCTATGGTTTGGGCTAAGATTTTGTTTGAAAACAGTAAAGTCACAACAAGACATTCACTACGTGCACTGGAAAATCAGCAGCTGGTGCATTCGATGCCTTTTTTGACTCCCTGTCCATTAATGAAGTTGTCCTTTATTCGGCCTTTTACGAATTTTAGCACTTGCACACTTAATCATCGGGCACTCAACACGTGTAACTGTTTCTTGCCGGTCCGAAACGGGTTTACTTCAACAACTTTATCTCGCAAGCGAAAAGTGTATATAGATTTTTTTAAATTATTATTGACTCTACATATATTTCTGTTTTCTCCTTCGAATGATTGCCCCGAATCTATAGCCCCGTTGATAGAAAGCGGCCACCATAGCCAAAAGACCACAGAACTAGAAGTAGACGCTGCATGTTCTTCAAATTATATGGAAGCCGAACGTGTTAGATTTGCAGTACTCATTAGAACAAACTAGCAAACCAGTGAACCAAATGTTCACCAAAACCTGATTTAAAAAAAATGTATTTAATTAATTGAGAACCTCGGAGATTTTGTGTGATTTCGTTTGAAATTCGTGATTTTTCGAAAACCGGAAGTGTTACGTTACTCAAATCCGGTTTGTAGTCTTATCAGACTATTCTTAACTTATAACTTAAATATTCTCTTTATCTATCTCTTGCGGTTTGGCCGCTGAAACAGCACCACAGACGGACGGACGGACGGACTTGTCTAATAGATAAGAGATAAGTGTTAAAAAGGAATGGGCCACAGTGAAATATTTTAATTATATCGTTAATATGCATGCGTTGCGTAATTAAGCAAAGTCTTCTCAATAAATTCCCAAGTAACTATGTAACACATAACTAATTAATGTATATCTAATTAATTGTATTGGTAGCAACATGATTTTTTGTAAATGTTGCTACATCTGTTAATTCTGACAAGTTTCATGCGCCCATTCTTCTTATCAGCTAAAAGATGCCGTGAATGGATGGTAGGGAAATAAATATATTGGACGTTTCAAAGCTTTCTATAACTCAATTTGAAGAAATAAAGTATAATTTCATTTCATATAACTTAATAGTAAGATACTGGCAAACCAGTGAACCAAATGTTCACCAAAACCTGATTTCTCGAAAACCGGAAGTGCTACGTTACTCAAATCCGGTTTATAGTCTTATCAGACTATTCTTAACTTATAACTTAAATATTCTCTTTATCTATCTCTTACGGTTTGGCCGCTGAAACAGCACCACAGACAGACGGACTTGTCTAATAGATAAGAGATTTATAACTAAAAACCTTAATATATATCCGTAACTCCATCTCCTTATGCCATAAGCATCGCCTGATGTTAGGTTATTTAAGAAAAGAAGTTTCGCGTCAGATGCGCGGTCCGGGCACACAATTTTTTTACGTTAACTTAGAACTTACATCAGATACACCTGCGGGCCTGCAAGTTGGTATCTCATGTAATAGAGGCTACTGACAGTACATACACAGCCAAGTACGTGTACTGTACTGTAGTGTACTGAGTACACTCATTTTGTCTACCAATTTCCGTTCATGCGACAGAGCCCTGTGACGATCAGTCAGCGAAGGTATAATAATACTGTCCCGATAATATCATTATCTTTCTTGAGTGGAGACTACGAGGGTAAACGTAGTGTAGGACGCCCTGAGACAAGATGGGATGATGACATTCGTAGGCTGACTGGAGTGGGCTGGATGAGAGTGGCAGAAACTCGGGAGCAGTGGCGTGCATTAGGGGAGACCTATGTCCAGCAGTGGACAAGCATGGGTTGATGATGATGATGAATAATCGGTCAAAAGTTTGTGCTAGGAGTACATTAATCTGTACTCCTAGCACAAACTTTTGACCGATTTAATCGTATCGCCATCGTTATGGACCAATACTTATTTGTCCATACATACCATCGTCAAAGTTTCTAGGGAATGAGCCAGTTTGTTCTTATGTCCGGTAGAGGCACTGCTCAGTTTCCATAGAAACTTTGACGATGGCGATACGATTACCGGTCTGTCAAAGTTCATGCGAATTGGGACCTCAGTACCCCACCGAGGTCCCAATTGTCACCCTATGAAACCTTTTACGGAACCCCAAAACAGTAATAATATCAGCGCCCCTGTCGGTTACAAAAGGAATTAAATTGTAAGCGTAAAACAAAATTAACACGGTCAGATAGATATTACGGTTTGGTAAAAATGTGTTTGACCAACTGTTAAACTATAAATTATGTATGTTCTTAATAAATGCCAATTTGACGTTTGATAAACTTAATTTGGTTTCATCAAACATATAAGTATTTTTATATTGGGATCAATTGTTTTGAGATTGAGCTTTAACGAAAAAGTCAACTCAAGACCTAAGTAAATTTGCAATTATTATTATTTGAGAATGTTATTTACCTTTTATAAGAAAAAACCTTTTTGAACTGAGCTCGATGCTTCATCTGTTGCATATAGCCCGCTTGATGATTTTTTTTATGTATAATTTTTACGGCCTTGGAGTTTCCCATATTGGCCACGCCTGATGGTAAGCGCCCACCATAGCATGTAGACGTTTGCAGCACCAAAATTATCACTCACGCTGTTACTTTTTTTTATAACGTAGGTAAAAATGCTGTTTATAGACGACGGCGCCTTTAAGAGGCACACCGCCGAACGGACCTCACACCTGGCTCCCGCAAGTCTTACGAACCCCTCAGTGGCTGCCCACCGAGGACCCCGCAACTCTTACGGGCGCTTTACGGCATAATATCCGCTAAAAAAGACCTGCGAATACCTTCTACACTGCTTAATGCGAAGCCGCGGGGTCCCCGTTTAGGGATTCTACCACGAACGGTGTTACCTACCAACAATCACCTACCCCGTGGTGCCCTGGAATCTTACTCACCGACAGAAACACAACACCACCAAAAGGTGGTCAATAAGTTATGAATCTTATATCGAGCAATATAAAGCTCCAATTCAGTTGGAGTTTTATTTTAGTTTCATTTAACTTGACATGTGGCTGTATGTTCTACATTGATAAGAATCCTTTGCGTGAAAGTCTGATTAAAACTAAGCCGGTTTTGTTACTATACAAAGTCTTTTGTGTTTTTATTAACTATCTGATTGTAGGTTCTTTTTCTATTTACCTACTTTTGTAAAGAAAATAAAGAGGTGTTACCAAATTAACTTTAAACAACACGTTGGACACGTATTTTTTCTTTGAGCATTCAACCAAAAAATGACAAAGTTATAGCGCGTCAAAGTCTGGGAGTAGGGGCTCGTGACGTCACTTTTAAGTGAAAATTGTACCAAAAAGTGACGTCATGCGACTTTTCAAATAAATACATCTCTGCAATGTTTATAGGTATTATGTGAAAAAAGAAAAAATACGTGTCCAATACTTTTTGATAATCTACCTGATAAACGAAGAAAAATAAATTAGTTATCATACGTATTAACCTTTGCATAGAAAAAAATAACACTTCAAATTTGGAATTTTTATAGACAGTTTATCTATCCGAACTAGGTACTTTATGATGCCGTCGCATCGCGCAACCAAAACCAAAGAAGAAAGTTACCCTACAAAAAAACATGATAATAATAAAAAAGAATGTCAGCCTTTCTTGGCTGTGACAAATAAAATCGGTCAGTCGCGGACGCACGGGTCGGATTCCATACGGGACTGAGTTTCGATCATTTCACTGACCCACATTTCGAACACGAACAGACCAACACGACCCGACTGACGGTACAGATAAGTAAACATTTGAGCTAGCCTAAGAGTTCTATTTCGTGTCCTCACTAGGTTTTTTTTCTGTTAATACAATCATGGGCGACCGCAAAAAAGATGCGATTATGTTACAAAGCTTCGCCCATTAATCAACTTTAAAATCTATTTGTTAGGAATGAGATTATAATTAAAAGATACCTAACTTGTAATCATTTATTATATCTAAGGTGAGCAGTAGGTATCTATTAGACACAACAAGCAATAATCATTAAGGATTCTTTATCATTAATTGTTCCAGTTAAAAATAGGGTTAATCAAGACGGTACCTTTGATGTTAGTATTTTAACTCCGAGCCTTTCCTTTATAAAATGAAGTGCTTTTATTTCTCGACGCCCCGCGCAGTAGGAAGAGCAACAACCTATGATTGCAGGGCCGTTATTCCCGATCGAGTCGACACCGAACGTTGATAACTGCAGAAAAAACTGCGACTCTACCGACCATTGCCTTTTTAAAAATAACGATGTGTGCAGTTTATTTATTAAGTACTCCTTGGGCGAATACAAAATTAAAGTTGCGGTTTCTTTACAATGAAAGTTTACCATAATAGCTGTAAACTAATTGATATTTATAACGGAACACCGTTTCGGAAGCGCGAACGCAACAGTGAGCACAAATTATAAGGTACAAACACGAAGAATGGTGCATTAAATTCAATTTCATATTCACCTGTTTAACCCGCACCAAGACGATACTCTCACAATCACAGCGAACTCATTATCCACCGGCACTTGGCTCTTAACAGTTATTCGTACTAAAAGCGTTGATTAACAACTCGAGATTATACCGACCTCCTTTTCGATAAACTCTTTTCAATTCTCTACTCGATTATTTCAAAAGCAGACAACTAAAAGAACCTTTTTCTGACGTTTGAACTAAGCGCGCGCTTTTTTTATTTTTTTTTTTATTTTTTTCTTTCAGTCCGTGCGCGGCGGAACTTGACCGCTAGGCGACTGCGGCCGTACTGAACCTATACTGCAAGCTCGTCTCTCAGGCCAATGTAAATTACTTTCCAACAGTTACTTTTTTTCGCTTCGCTGCACTGATTCCGTTCAATTTTTTTTTAAGCTTCGGTATGCAAAGGAAAGCTTAGCTTGTATGACATGTCGATAACGGCGCGAGGCATGAGTGTGGATTACCATAGATCCTAAAGTATTATCTTTATTGCAAATTCTTTAATTAGCCTATAATTAAATTGACTTAAAGTCTGACGAAAACATTAACTTGTTGATCGTCTTACGTTAAATCTTTGTAGTTGATTTAACGTAAGACAATCAACAAGTTAATACTAGCTTTATTCTAAAAGCTTAAATCCCAAATAAGTAAGAACTTTATTTTGTAACCTAATGTTAGGTTCGTGTTTTTTTATTTGAATATGTACCTTAATTTTAGCTGTAAGTTTTTATATTAATGTAATAGTACGTTAATACTATTGCAGAAAATCAGCAATAATTTCAGTATTTTTGTTTTGTTCGTGAAACTGCCTCCTTGATAGATATGCTCGTCTTGAATATCGTTGCTGCCGTGGTAAGGTGCCAGGGGCTCGATGTGGTTCACCTGGGCTTCTTTCTATCTCTCTGTCTTACATCACGTCGTTGATTTTCGTGATCACCCTATGGGGTCCTTATTCCTTTCTACCAAGGCTGGAGCTTTAGGGACTTCCCAACCCATTTCTGTGCGTTGTACAACCACACGAGCTCTCCTTCCACGATGTCTTCAAGCCGCGGGCGTAGGCATTCCGGTCATATCTTCTTTTCAGTTTCTCGCCAGATTTTAGGTTGTTCACTCACACGCTTGCAATAGCTCGTGCGTTACATCCATCCTTCTTTTAAGCTCTGCGACGTACTGTACACCACTACTGATTTGGAGGCAGTAGGAGGTGTTCCGGTAAGTAGGTCCACAGATAAGGCATCTCCCTTCCGAAATTAATAGTCTATGGGGTAAATTGGTTTCATACGCACTTAGTTAGACTCCATCGCGAAGTATATGAAGGACGCCTCGAGACGTTACTTCGATAAAACCGCGCATCATCCGAACCCCTTAGTAGTTAAAGCCATTAGTTATCATACGTCCGTCCTCCCGTTTTCCAATCGTATGTCCCTCCGATTCCGTCGGCCTAGGCAAGACTTAGAGTACCCCGAAGACGAAATCACCCGCGCCAACGCGCCTCCGATTCCTCCCACTCAGGCCACAAACACCAACACTACACAGCTGGCAAACTTGCACACTAGCTTAGACACCGCACCCCTAGGATAAGAGTGCGAAGACCCTGTCTACACACGACACGCTATACCAGGTTCAGGTACGTACCTGAGCGTTTTTCCCCGCCCCCACGACAACGACTAACTACAGCCGAGGTCCGAGTCTCAGAGGTCACATCTGACTGGAATACCTCTAGAGGCACTCGCCAATTCTCGGCTTGAGGTTTCCTTTGGATCTCGCAGTCCACAAACCCGGTGACGCTGTAAAGGTCAACTGCAACCAACAGCATACACACCAAAAAAAAACATACGCACTCGACGGTAGGTCTTAATTCACGGGAGTCGGGGACAGAGGCGTTTGATGACAGCCACACCGTGGCAAAGCGTACTTGATCCATGGGGAAGGACCCTTACAGAGTGGGACGAACGCTTCCACTGGATAATCGAGAACTGTCAAGTATGAACTGGCGTCACAATTTCGAACCTCATGCCGATACGTAATAATTGGTCTCAGAAGTCGGATCAAAACACGAAACAAAATAAAATGAATCATTATCTCTCTTGGTCACGATATAACTTATAACTTTGGTTACGTACCCAAAGGGTAAAATCCGGCCAAGTGCGTGTCGTGCCACGAGCAGGATAGGGTTCCGTAGTTGCCTGTCGTTACCACAATATATTTGAGCAGGAGTCTTTATTTTCTGTATCGGAAATTAGAAAAACAATCTATGTTTCTTAATTAAAATACCTAAAGCAAAGTCAAACTGCGTCTCAAACTCAAAATTAATTCGATATTATTTTTTTAAATACAAATGCTAACCGCCGATTTTTTTTTGTTTCATCCTAACGGGGGAGCGGTTGTGTTATCCTCATGGATACCCTACAGCCGGAAGCAAGGTTATGTCAGACTTTTACTGACTAAAACACACCCATTGTTCATGCTTATGGCCGAAAGGCAAGCTTCATTTGAAGCGATCATGATCACTCCTGAGAAGGGGATGATGCGGTATAACCGCCGAATTTTCAAATGCTTATTTATATACTCTTTATAAAAACGTAAAGTTAGCGCGACTCAGAAACCGTTGCTGTTGGTACTCGTGGTAGCGTTGTGGTACTAATGATATTTTATTGTTTTTTTTTTATCTTATTGCAATGCAATGTTTTATGCTACAATAACTTCATCTATGTCACTATAAATTTTTTCTTCTAAGGAATTTTCAATAAGTAAGAAATTTTCTTTAACCGAAGTTGAACGACTCGTAAACTAACAAATCTCTAATAATTTTTTTTTTCTTTCATGAACTTTTAAGGAAAATCTGACTTTCCTTATCATGAATTTTTCCAGGTTTTTCAAGCCAATAGTTTAGCTTTTAGAGGGGGGGGGGCGCCCTACTCGAACAATTGCTGTCACTCTATCGTCTGTCTGTTTGTATGTCACAGGTCTCTAGATCGATAACGGAATGAGCAAAAAATTAAATTTAGTTAAATATTGGATTTGGATACTAAGTAGTTTTTAAGTTTGTGTTTTTTAAATGTTTCAAAATTACTTATTAAATATATACTACCATGGAAACAATAATTCCAGCAATAAATAAACATTTGTGTTAAAAATTCAAAACAATTATTTTTACACTATTAGTTGTAACGACAACAAACAAATGATTTTTCTTTTCGTGTTTTGTTTCGATCTACATTCATGTTTTTTGCTCAATCTAATATATAAAATTCTCGTGTCGCGGTGTTTGTGGTTAAACTCCTCCGAAACGGCTTTCCCGATTCTCATGAAATTTTGTGTGCATATTGGGTAGGTATGAGAATCGGACAACATCTATTTTAAATCCCCCTAAATGTTAAGGATAATCCACCCGTAAACTTATTTTTTCAATTTTAGATAATTTTTTTTTTATTTTTTTATGATACATCATACGAAAATACATACATCCCTAAATTTTCAACTTTCTACCACCAACCCCTATTTTTTTATGGCGGTACGAAGTTCGCTGGGTCAGCTAGTACTATTTTAAATGGTGATGGTACGGAAAGCCCTTCGCGCCTATTCGCGTTAGTCCGGTTTTTAGAGTTTTCTAATACGATGTAGATGTTTCTTACAGATAAAACAAATGTGTTGCGCAGAAAATAAGAAAACTTAATGTACCAGTATTTAATTATATTAATTTTGATATGTATTTTTTGATAGGTTTCTCTTAGTTTTTTCTGTTTCCTATTAAATGCGCTGCAATAGGAGTTGTAGGACATTTTGATATTTTTATCACATAGTTTAGTACAATATCTGTAGGGTCTGTTATAGTTAAAAAATAAGTTTATTCAACTAATTAAAAGTACTCTCAAGTAAATATCGAGATAAACCTTATTACGTCTTACTTAGGCCTTACTTACGATCTAATAAACCAAGCATGTAGATGCCTGGCTTATAATTAATTACATATTTTATGTAGCATTAACGGTTGTACCCGATACAATATCCCTGGTTGAACCTAGACTTAACGGTTATTTGATTATATAAAAACCGAAATAGTGGGACTATTCTTAATAACTTTGATAAACTTCAATGGGTGAATAATAATTAGCAAATATTTTACGAAATAACCATTTTTCGGAAGCAAACATTTTAGAAAACAACCATTTCAAGAAGCAGACATTTTAGAAAACAACCCTTTCAAGAAGCAGACATTTTAGGGAATAGACGTTTTAGGAAGAAAACTTTATAGGAAATGAAAGTGTTCTGGGAAAGCACACATTTTAAGAATAGCAAATTTTAGAATCAGACATTGTACTCTTGCGGACCCATGATGTCTCGCAATTAGCAGTTTTGCCAGATGCAGTTTTAGAAAAACGTGCATCTACATAATTTTAATAGTGCATGTTTACATTATCTTGGTTCGTTTTATCTTGGTTCATCTAGCAGTTAAATGCTTATAATAAAAAATATAAACTTAACGCTGTATGATGTAAGTATCAAATACGATTTTAATTATGTATTCAAGCTTAAGTAAAGTGTCGCTGCTTGTTTTTGGCGATGTAGCACTATGCAAGTCTTTGCTTATGTCGTAGAATTCAATTAACCCATCCCAACTGATGTTAAGTGTGTGTATGCTGTTGGTCGCAGATTAACTTTACAGCTCGGGGTTTGAGGGACCAAATGGACCTAAAGCCGAGAATAGGAATGATGACGGGGTACAGTAAACGAAATTCTATTTAGTACGTCAGTTAGATGATCAAAAAAAAATGACACGTATTTTTTTGGGCAATCAACCAAAAAATGACAAAATTATAGCGCGTCAAAATTTGGGAGTAGGGGCTCGTGACTCGTGACGTCACTTTTGAGTGAATTTTCAGTAATAAGTGTACTCAAACGTGACGTCATGCGAATTTTCTATCTCTGCAATGTTTATATTATGTGAAAAAAGAAAAAATACGTACCAATACTTTTTGATAATCTACCTGATAAACGAAGAAAAAAAATAGTCATCATCCCTATTGGCGGGTGCCTCTAGAGGTCCAGGCGGATGGTTTCTCCCCTCGGGGAAGTCCCCTCCCCGCCTGGAGCCTCAGATCACTCGAACCTACGGGGCATCGTGTGACAGAATAATGTGCCGCTCCAGCTATTCTCACTTTGCCGGCATAAATACAATCCCTTATCCTGTGGAGCCCTTAAATCTCAGAATTAGTGAATATCAATTCAAAACTTAATAACTAAACTTATATTATATTTGTTTCTTAAGTTTTCATGCAAACCACTCATTAAATAAAAAAAACATGTTTATACGG